ACACCCTGCCGCTGGAACCCCAGCCAGCAGCTCTGTGTTTCTGGGATAGCACCCAGGTTTTAATGGGGGTAGTTACTTTTACTTGTTTGAAATGCTGCTGCTGCTAACAGAAGCCCTGCAGGTGGATATCAGATTCGACTTATTTTTTTTTAACTCATTAAAAGCTGTGGTATTCTTATATTAGCTCCAGAGTAACCAGACAGTGCTAATAGTCAACCACACTTTAAAAATAGCTTTTTACTATCAACTGGAAATAGATTTCTCCAGTAACTCTTTATTTCCCAGAACTGTTTAAATGAGAAAGAGCATCACTTCCATTAGCTATCCCTTGACAGGTAAGCAGAGTGTTTATAACCGCAGTGTTGACGTTGTGTCACTACTAGCACATAGGAATATGAAAGTTTCCCCAATAAAAATTTGCTACTTCTATTAAAGACACACTTTGTCAGGGGAAAAGTCTCATGCACTGCAAAAAATGCTACAGAATATTACATTATAAACAGAAGAAAAACCCAAATACGTTAAATTACCATCCGTCTCCATAGAGAGACTGCATAGGAAAAAGAAATGGAAAGTCGGTACATCTACAGTTCCTTGAAAAACAGTCCCAAAAATTGGTGTAAGGTGCATGCTGGTATGAAACTTAAACTTGTATGTTGTGTCCTCAGGGCTTTTCTCTTCCCTGATCTCCAAGACACTGCTCCGTCTTTCTCTCCTTTCTTCCCTTCAGCCCAGGACAGAGTCAGCCCTTCCCAACACGCCGAAATGTCCCATCCTGCACTGTGCCAGATGCCAACACTGACAGTGTTTTCTCTGGAGTATGTTGTTCCACGTCTATGATCGCCCCTCTTGATTGCTATTTATCCTTCCCTCATGTCAGCTCAGGCCATGATGACGTTTTGTTTTCTTCCAGCTCCCAAGGTACTGGATAGGAAAGTGTTAAACAACTTTGCAATATTAAATATTAAAGCATTACAGAAGTCTAGCAGAGCCTCTCCAGAAACAACGCAATGATCATTTGTACTAGTATCTTAAAAGAAATATCCCATTTGCTTTATTATGTAGGTTGGAAAGAAAACAAAATGATTTCTAATTCTCTTCTGCACCCTTTACATGCAGCCTTTAAAAGATCCCTTCAGGAGAAACAGGGTAAGGAAAATGAGAGGTAAGTGTGTGGCATATTTGAAAGGTTGAGAAAACCCCTTAATACTGAACACAGCATTGTTTCTGCTTTTAGGTGCCAGCTGAAGGAAAATTTGTGACCAAAAGAAACAGTATGGTAGCTCTCAAGGTGAGGGAACTGGAGGAGGAAAGCCTTGTGAAAGACGACTGAGTGAGAAGCATGTTGAGCGCTGCCGTAATTTGGTTCTGCCATTTATTCAGTGGTTTTTTTGGCCAAATGTAGGCAGTCATAATTTCTTGCCTAGAAGAGGTGGGTTTTATCCAGGCCCAAAAGATGAACAATAAGAACTTACCTGAGATTTTAAAGAGACAATGGTGTCTTCAAGTTCCTGTCTCAAAGAGGCTGGCATCAGACCTTTGAGTGTGGTTTCATATTCTTGTCGTATATGGGTTATCTGTAACAGAACAAAAAGAAATTTATATATAGATGGCTACTCTTGGAAGCCGGAGAGTAACTTCTCTGCTCCTTTTGCCCAACCTGGAGTACAAATAAACACAGAATTGTGGTATCAAGGGAAGGGGAAGAAGAGAGATGAAAGATCAGCAAAGACGTGTAAAGAGCAAAAGAGTTTAAAAAGAGGAAGAAAGGAAAAAGAAAATGTAAGAATAAGGAATATATGGAGAGGAGGAAAAAATAATGAAAAGGAAACAGGCATTTGTTGGGACATGGTATGAAGAAGCAATAATAATTTCTAAAACTGTTTCCACAGAGCATTTATACACACACACGCTTTGCAAATAGATGGTCAGAGGTTTTCTTCTTGTCTTTGGCGAACCCGGTCAGCAGAGTGATACTTGCCCCTTACTCCCTTACACGAGGTGAATGACCATTTCCCAAGGTTTTCTTACAAAATTTTTCAACTTCCAGATGCTTTGGAGGACTTTTTTTTTAAAAAAAATTCATCACACAACTATTTTTCATCACATCTTGGGTCTTCCTCAACTTCACTGAGGCTGCAGGACTTTTAACAAATAGGTTTGAGCATCTTTGACATGTTACAGCATCATATGTTCACACCGAAACAATTACACCTAGAGGACATTTTAGTCCATAACCTTGCTCAACAGATGCTGAGAGAACAGGGCACTTACAAAGCAGCGATACACGAAGCCAGATGAGCTGGAAAGACCATGGTTTGTATCTCTCCAGCGTGGTTGTATTTGCCAAATGGTGACCCAAGAAAAGTCCGGTTCAGCTCTGTCCCTCGAGTGGCAGAGGGCTGCTCACACGCTTTATTACTTGGCTGAATCAGGGCCTCACATCTGTACTTAACTTCCAATAGGATTAACTGCTTAATTCAAATTAAGCAAGTACTTAGGTGTTTTTCTGGATTAGCAGCTGAATATGTAAATAAAGGATAAAAGGGATTCAATATCAGATTAACTCATAAAATATCTTTAAACTTCCAAATTGAATCTCTCTTCCAAAGACTTACACACCATTTTGTGCTAATTTCGGTTTAGTTACCAAATGGCTTAAATCTATCATTGTGACCGCAGATCTAAACCTCAGTCTTAGATCTGACGAAGCCACGAGTTACAAATTGCAGCTCCTGGATCGCAAGGAGCGCACGGGCTTCAACACGTGAGAACCAAACACAAAGTTCATGGCACGACGCGCCAGTTACCACCTTACGGAAAAAACAGGTGATGCCAAAAGAGGTCTCATGCGTAGTGCAATTATCCATACAAAAGGAATAAAACAATCTGATGAAACTTTAGGAAAATTCTGCCTATGAGTCATTCCGACATGCAGAAGAAATCTCCAGATCTCTATGCAAATCGGCAATTAGAGGCTTTCCTTGTGAGCTGCAAGTTAAGCGATGCCACTATGCAAATCCAAAGGAAAAAAAAACGGTGAGACAGGAAACCTGGTTTGAACTCTGCTTGCATATAAGCCAGCGATCAGAATTTATGTTTTTGTAAGTTACTCCAATAAATTTATGCTACTATTTCTACAAGGGCTCACAAAGTTATGCAGGGGTGCTCTGCCAGGATAAATATTTTCTGAGCCAACAGCTCATTTGGGTGGGGACCTTGATAGAGCAGAAACATATATTTCAGTTAATTCAACATGTTATGTTTGCCCTTGGTGAGACGGGAGCAGAAACAAGCAGCTGGAACAGCAAAATGCTTTTATTTCCTAAATTTTGAATAATAAAAATCTATTTTGGGAGGAAGAGGACCTGGATGATGACCCTGCCAACACATTGGGGTGACCCAACCAGCACAGAAACTCCCTCGCAGGGGCCTGACTCGACGCTCAAGCTCTGCATTTACAGTGTCAGGTGCCGAGCACGGACCCCAATATAACTCACGATAGCACGATCTAAACCCATGACATCATGATCTAAACCCATGACATCATGATCTAAACTCATGACATCCCGACCTAGCCATGAGAGCACCTCGGACTCCCACCAGCTTCCGCAGGGGCCAGGCACACAGCGAGAGCCCCTCGTTACAATTTTTCCTAGAGGAAAGTTGAGAAAGTTTCATTCTAAGTAGATGCAACAACAATTTTAATACAGCTCCGTGAGCGAAATAATAATGTCTAATTGTGCAACAATCTTCTTTCAACCAGGACACTGGTTTTAATAGTTTAATCTGCAAGTGTCCTCTAAACACGTGCTTGCCCAACACTGTCAACGTTTGCTATTAACTCTGCAAAGCAGCAAAGGGATTGTTCCCTTTTGACAAACACATTTCTTGGAAAGTCAGGAAGAAATACGTACTGGGCTTTAAAGTATGGATCTATATTACGGGGCTGGCTGAAAACAGAGAAAGAAAATGAGAAACAAGTCCTGGTAGCTGAAGAATTGCTTGGGGCTGACTTCTTACTCTATTTCAGAGAGAGGACACGAACTGCTTTTGCAGTGAGAACTGTTCTTCGGGATACAATTGCAATTTGTTTGTTTGCTAAGGCAAAATCTGTTACTTTCAACTGTGCTCACTAGTAATTGCATCACAATAAGATGAAAATAAGATCCCAGCTGTTTCCTGTCATATTATGATAAACGACATGCTGGTATTTTTGGCTGACATTGCTATCAAGGTTTATAGACCCAAGAGATTAAAACAGTGCATGGCAAAAATCGAAATCACTTCTTATAACTGAAAAATAACATAGAGTGAGCTAATGTGTACTAATTTTAATGGGGGAAGTTTTTTTGTTTTCTAACACTTATTTTTGACCAATGAAAGCTACGTCTCCAGGGATTTTTATTTTTTTTTTGGTGTGCCTTAAAGGCTTTTTTGTTCTTTTATAGCCTCGAGCTGCCTCCCTAGGATCCACAAACACTGTGTCTCCTCTTGGACTCTTGAGAGATGTTAAAAATTGCAATTCTTCAGCCCTCAGGAGGGCTTTAGTCCGCTGGATGAGGATAGCTCTATTTCATTTACTGTTGTGTTCATTTTTCTTTGGTCCTGAGCAAGCTTTTTTGGGGAATTCATTTTGGCGAGTTGACTTAATCCGTGAACCCCCAGGAAGGTTTTATAGCTTTTAATATCGAGCTGCCACATTGGTCTTTGTTTATTCAGGTTGGTGGCTAACACGAGGTTTAAAGTTTTACCATCAATCATCTTTAGTGTCAGTAGAAACAAGTGAAACCTGAAGTTGCCACACGTAGCTCATGTAGGCTTAGTCGCACGATAAATTAGAAAGAAGAGACAAACATTCACACCACTACATAAAGTTATAAAAAAGCAGGGAAGTTATAATTTCATAGATTACAAATAGATCTTGTTATAGTTGGGCACTGCCCATTCTCAGAAGAGAGAAGAGTTGCAGAAGGGAGCACATCCCGTGGGCACCTCGCTGCACTGTAGCCACTCTCCTTTCTTTCTGAAAGCAACAAGTTAAATACATCCAGGAGAAACACAGTGCCTTCAAAATCCCCATCTCATTACCAAAATAAAATATATAAACAACGAACCCAGACAAATGCAACCTTCTCCAGATCTCCCAGATTACTTTGTTTGAACCAGAGGAGCTTAAGGAAAAACTAGAAGAAACTCTGAATTATACATTGCTAAAGCAAATGAAGGGATCACCGAAGAGTTGTTCGACTTGCTTTAAAAAAATATATCTTGTCTCAAAGGGCACAAAGTTAATATTTTATGTCAGATAAGAATCAAAAGGCAGGCCACTTCACTAAGGTGTTGTGGTTTTTTTACTATCTTAATTTCTGTCTCTTTACAATATTTGCAAAGGATAATTCCACGTGCGCCAGGAAATACTAGGAGAGTGACCAAAAGGCATAATTAGTATCATTTTATTATTATAAAATTTTCTTCACATTTCAGGGGGAGTAAGATGAGGAAAGTAATTTCCTGTTTCTCTCAAATCCTTTCCTGCGTTATTTAAACAATGGTATACTATAATGCTGTTTAAAAGAAAAAGCTCTTTAAAAAGGTTATGCATCTGCTCTGCAGTACACATCTCTGAAAGAAAAAATGAAAGATCTGCTGTAATAAATCTGAAGACAGGTTAGGGCACCAAAAAGGCAAAAATAACCCCTTCAGCCTTAGGCCAATCATTTAATCTCAGACTAAAGTTTCATCCTCCTAAATCAGGAGGATGATAATAATAATAATTCACGCAGGTCAACTTCATTCAGGTGGTATGAAGATCGCCAAAGTAATTTTCTGAAATCACTTTGAAAAGGGCAAGCAAAAGATGAATTAGCACGATGCCATCCCAATTTACAAAAAAAAAAAATCAACCAAAAAAAACCCTCAAAAAACCCCAAACAACAACCCAAAGAATGTCAAAATAATAATTAATCACTGCTTCTTTGTGCTTTCCCTAATAGCAGTGATTCCTCCCCGGCTTCTCAGCACTCTTAAGACTGCAGGTGAGCGCAGCTCTGCTTCCCTTGGGGCCACTGGGCAACGCCTGCCACCGAGCAACCGAATCTGCCAAATTCTGAAATTCCCTTAAATTTCAGATCTCTCTGCTTTCCGTTGTAAGAAAACGTTCAGTTGGAGCCCCAAATCTTCCAAAACAATTTTTCCTAATGAAGACTCAAATGCTGTATCCATTTTTACAGTGAAGAACAAGGTCTGAACATTTGTCAGTTCACAATACAATCAGATAAATATCCGCTGCTATTTAGGCCACGTCCTCTCTTATTTCAGGCAGTGGGAATTGCTATTCTTACTGTGCAACGTCCATTGAAATATGGTTCTTCCAGATTTAGAGAAACAGAGCGCTATTTGATACAAATGTTCTCGAGTCCTTAAGAAAAGCAATGAACGCTACAAATGGCATGAGCTGGGCTCAGCTGAAACCAGTAACTGAGCAAGATCAGCTGCGCAAGTTATTTTGTCAAATGAACACCACGTTGCTCTCCTCTGAGAAAATACTGCTGGAGACCCTCCTCTCTTCTAACAG